ACACAATATTGCACTTCTAATTTTGTCATAGAATCAGTGTCAACATGGACACGTGGCAAATTTTTCTTACTATCTCCTCTTCTCCTCCTCTTCCAATGAACCATTGGGAGATATTCTAGCCAAACATGCTTCTCCAAAGAAAGCAGTAGTGATGGAGAGAGGAACAACGTACGATGCCCTGAAGAGATTTCAGGCAAAACTGCTATCCTATTTGTACAACTGTCAAGCAGCACTACTATGATATTCTTCTGAGAGAAGATCTTGGTTGTTAACATTTCTATAGCCTACAGGGCTCTTAAGAGTAGTTGGAAGAATTGGTGGCACTTGAACCCCTGACCACTTGGCTCTGTGTATATTTGCCTAATTTGGATGCATTTGGGAGACTGGATCTCATTTAGCTTCCTCTAAGGATTAAATTTCTACTGAAATGCAGAGAGACATGAAGGGCATGCTAGAAGTGTGTCTTCCAAAATTATTTTTGCTGTTAGGTTGTGCAGTTGCCTAATAACATCAAGCTTTACTTTCTTGATTGCAGTGCTTGAAATATCACCATATTTGTTGTTCAGTCTCTTCCAGATTGCCCAAAGCACTGTTACTTCATAAACAAGGGCTCAGAAAAATCAGATTTAGCAGGAGCCTTGGTCAGTAAAATCCCATTTAGCCATCCGAAGTGTGTGCCTGGCGTAATAGAGATTCTTCGACATCAAGTGGCATGTAACAGCCTTATCAGCAGCTGTGTCTCTGAGAAGCATATAAATGAAGGTAAACTGTGTGGTTGGAAGTAATGGCGGAGTATTAGAGAGAAACTAGCTTCTAAGCTGGTTGTTAACAGATTTGCTGCTCCCTTGCCAAAGCTGTCATTACTTGTGGAGCATTTTAAATGATAAAAAAATCCTTAATTCTAGTATTACACTCTGTTGAATATTTTTTTAAAAAAAATCTCCTAGGCCTGACACTTCTATAAGCATAAACTAAGTTGCCAAAGTAATAAATAATTAGATTCTGCTGCATCAGTATTTTTTAAATTCTGGCATGTGATTCAGCCAAAAAGAGTCCAGGTTCAAAGGTGGATATCACTAAATAGTAATTTTATTTCTAGATGATTCAGAACTGCTTTACTTTGAAGTGGTACCACACAAGAACACCAGCTTTTCTGTCTTTTTCCTCCATCCTCTGAAAGAGAATTTAGCCTGCGGTACGTGTGGAATAATTGATACTGTCCTATCTAGGTTCTTGTACTATGCTTCTCAGTTACAAATACATTCTAAGGGCTACTCTCAATGGTGCACAACCCATGAAAAACACAAAGTAGCATTTGTGTATAAACTGCTTACTAAAAAGTGTTCTGTATTCAGCATAAAACAGAAAGTAAATGCAAATATTCAAGTCCTATTCTGTCTTGGCCTGCAGTTAATTAGTAAATTGTAACTTCTACTATTTCTGACTTAAGTATATTAGGAAAAAGCAAGTCTTATGCAAGACCATTGCTGCAAGCCCCTTCCCATTGACTTCAGTCTTACCTCTCTTGAAGCATTGGAATGAAGGGATGTTTTTCAATGCTTATAAAAATATTTATTTTGAAATACTTATATTCTGTTCTTTCCTAGTGATAATTGATGTTATAACCTCCAGAGAAGTCCAATGTTGCCTTCATTTAAATCCTCAAGATCCAACTCTAAATTCTAGTGATGACTTCATAGCAAGAGCCATGAAACGGTAACTAGTTTTATTTTATTTCATAACAGTTGGAATGAACCTCAAATGTCCATTTAATGGAAATATCATGTGCACTCACAATGCCATACACTCAGCAACCAGAAAACTTCACTCTAGTAAAAAGTTTATAATAGTGAGAGTAACTTACTTTAGTGTCTTAAGTATCTTTTTAAAAAATTTTAAACATTAATAGTGATGGAAAGTGTTTCTTTCCAGTAGAAAGCACATGGGACAGGGAAACACTTTTGAATGAAGAGATCTTTACCTTTTATAAAGATGCTTTTTTCTTTCGTAAACACGCTCTTCTGAAGACTTTAGCTGATGACAGTCTCATGACTGGTGTAACTTAGAATAGCATGCAAAGGACTTTTTCCACAATTATCTAATACCAATCAGTGCTTCTTTTCAGAAAGTGGGGTGTATGTGGCATGCCTACAACACTGTCTCTGGCTTCCTTTCTGAAACAAATTCTAAGAGAGTCAAATTTGTGTGATACATGAACATACGCTATATAAAGGACTTGGAGCACTAATTAATTTGGCATAAGCTAGTATACAACTATTATCTATTTGAATGCAGCTGGATTTTGAACCTGTTTAATTTGCCTGCCCTGTCTTAAGTCACGGGATACTATATACTATTCCTGGAACCAGGTAATGCTATTGTTAGAGTGGAAAAAACTCCTCTATGTAGACAGTGTTTTAGAGAAGATGTGCTCTGTACCTGTCTTACACAAAACGTGAAAGTTACAATTATAAAACTCAGCAAGAATGAATATATTGCAATGATGTTATTTGTTTAGGTTTTCATTAAAAGCACCCTTATGACTTTTTTTTTTTGACCAAATCCTCCCACTCTTTCTATCAAAGCTTCTTTGCACTGGTAAGCTCAAAGATCCAGCACTTGATTTCATTGCATCAACATACGGTTCCGGTATAGCACATGTAGTTATATCATAGTTACAATGTAATGCCTGTTAGGTTGTACAAGGCAAAAAGATGCAAGGATGTAGTGCTGTTTTTCACGACAGGTATCATTCTGGTGTCAGCCACAGTTTAAAAAAAGTCCGTTGAAGAATGGATGAAGTCTGTAGTAGTGACTAATGTTTCATTTCCTCCTTCAGTTGCATGTCAGTGCCGGTTGTCATGAGAGCTATTTTTAGGAATGCTGCCAAGGTGAAAGCTGATAGTGAAACACAAGACATGGAAGCAGACAAGCAACAAAAACCTGAACCACCGTGTGAACAAATTATGGATTCTAATACTCCTGAGGAAAGTCCTTCTGTGGCTGGTCAGCAAGATTTGGTAGTGACAGAGAAGCCAAGTATTACAGACAGCCCAAAAGAAAATCTCTCCACAGCCAAACTGGAAACTCTGGGTGATAACATGGAAAAAAGTAACCCCACAGTAAGCACAGAAACTTTGTGCAGAGTGGAGGAAAGTAATTCCACAGCTAGTACAGAAGTTGTTATGATAGATAAGTAAAACACAATCTATTGTTTGATAATCAAACAAGAAAGAAATATTTTCCCTGGTGTAGATTGCTTTTGCAGTAGTTGGAGAGAACTTGGCAAGCTCACTGTCTACTTAGTAATTTATGAATGGAGTTTCCTCTTTGCACACTATTAAGTACATAGAAGTAATACTCGAGTCTACATTTTTAAACTTCCAAATTTGGAAAGTCTAACACTGCTCTTGTAAACTTTATTTTTGTCTGCACCATATTCTACCACAGTATGGAAGAAATTTCTGTCTAACATACGTGACACAGGCTATAACATAACACATGCACTTGTAGAAAAGTAGTGTTTATCCATGTCAGTATTATGCTAAATAAATAGAGAAAAAGAAAGTTGTTTGAACAATTTTGTACATACATGATTAATGCAGACAGCCCTATTTGCCCACTATTTCAGAAACAGGTTCAATAAGAGACTCTTAACTGCAGTTCTGTTTTCCCCTAATAGAGAAGTGGTATTGAATGGCACCTGAACTTACAGTCTACCAACTCTGGCAGGATAACAGAGTCTTTAAGAAAGTTGTAAACTCAGTCTCTGAAAATCAAGTAATTTTTACCTTAGCTTTCTTCTGGCCTCAAAGTATAAAATTGTTTTGTGATTTAAATTTTTTTTTTTAAAGTATAGTTAAGTCAGCTGTTCAAAATTTCAGTTTGTCTCTGTCTAGACCTGCTTTGTCTCGGACATGAAGGAAAGGTACAAGCAACTTAAAACAAGTGAACTCCTAACTTACCGTAAATCAGTTTAATTAGTGTAAAACAGAGACAGGCATTCACAAAGAAAAGACTTCCTGACCAGAGCAATTTGCAGCTACAGTTAAGGCAACAGGAAAAGGAGTCAAATATAGAATGCTGGCACAGAAATACAATGTTGTCAGAAATATGCATGTGTGGCTGACAACGTGTTTCTAAGAGAAGGTGAGTAAGCCTGGCTTCCTTGAAGAATTTGGTAAAAACACTATGGGAATGATGAAAGAGAGTTCAGGCTAGAAGGACTGTCAAAATAAATACAAAAACAACACAAGGAAGTTCATCAGACTGGAAATGTTATCAGTGTGGTCTAACAGGGTAAGAGTGGATGCTCTAACAGTAAAACAATAGAATTGTAAGTAATTCTGCATTTGAAGAGAATGGTGTGTTTTCGGCAAAAGTGAAATAAATAAAACTGTATGAGGAGGAAAAAAAAAGGCAGTTTTTAACTGTAAAAGTGCACTACATAGTGGTTATAAAAGGTAAGAGGAAGAATTTGACAAAAGGTGAAAAATTCCTATATTTCATATGGTGACTAGAGAGAGTCACAGCGCTCTAGAAATCAGTAGCAAATACTGTTCTGTTTTGCACAGAGTTAGCATACCATCAACAGCAGCTTATTCTGCAAGAACAGCTTGTCCCTAGCACTGGGCATTTATTTTTTAGATATTAGAGGGGACCTATTTAGAGGGGCTATTTAAGGGACCTGCTCCATTTCCAAACTGCTGCCAAAAGAGAAAGTGAGGGTGAAATGATAGCTTCTGACACAGAACAGAAACATGTTTAGTAAATCTTTGTAGAGCTTTAAAAGTCATTTCCCCTTTCTGTGAAAGTTATGTTTAAGATTGAAAGCAAGGGGGTTTTGCCAGGAGCCAAAGCATGGTGAGGATTTACCGAAACTACCTCTACTGGGAAGTATCAAAATCAGTTTTCCCTAAAATGAAGTGATGCATCAGCCTGTACATGGTCCACAAACTGAGAATCAAATCCAGTTGAGATAATTTTTAAATACCATGAGACAGAAAAACTAATGTTCCAGTTGCTGGACATGATGGAGTATATCCAGTGATAAGCCCAGTTGCTCTACTAGCCAAATAGTCTGCTTTTTAACCCAAGCAAGGGTTGACCTTTCAGGATCTGTGCAGAGTTTCGCCTTACTGCACTCAGACTGCAAGGAACCAACCTCACCGTTATTTCTACAAATGTTTTCACCAGAGCTGCCAATGTCTTTGTGTTTTCCAGCTTTAACTTCATTGTGCTCTGTCCCAGCTGGAGCTGTGTGATTCAGGTCCATGTCCTGAACAGAATCTAAAATGTGTCCGAGATGTGGCTGTTGTTCAGTAGAATTCAGATACTTAAGCACATCTTCTTCATGCTTTCCAACAACATCAAGAAGATTATTTATCTTGCTTAAAGCAGAATCATGTCCATTAAAATGACACCAGGATAAGAGAGCACTGAAAAGTGAAGAACAAAAACAAAAAAAGTGATTACATGTACCCACACAGACCCCCAGCTGTTGAAGGGAGATAGCAGTGTGTCAAGACATCTATACTATATAAATGTATATATGTTTTATTCACATTTTCTGGGAAATTCAAGCAGTAGAACTGAATATTAAGCTTAAAGATGTAGATTGAGATAATTTTGGAAGAGCAACTGAAGGAGGATTTTTAAGAATGATCACTGTACACTCAGGTACGCAATTCCCTGTATTCAAGACCTGAGAATTCTCAGGTTGCTCACTTTGGACAGACTTACAATGCACTTTTTTTAAAAAATTAAAACAAACAAAAAAATCGCATGCACGCTCCCTCCGTATACACCCTCCACACACGCACAACCTTAAGAAGTTTGTAACCTACTTCAGGGTTCCTCTGAACTGGCCACATGTAACCATCAGCTCAGCACCGTGTCTGTAACCTTGATTAAAGCCTTCCTGGAGTGCAACTTCTTTCCCAGCCTCAATTCCATCCCTATAGCCTTCCTATAATAAGAGTAGTGAAACACATCGTTCACAAGATGAAAAATTGGACCTATGACCATTTCATAACAATAAAAAAAAATTAAACAAGTATTCAGTCTCTTAAATTACAGCTTCTAGATTTGAACACCCCCTCCCAGCTACACCCTCACTGCCAAACCAAAACATGCTTTTTGCAGTGCATTATGATTTACTGATCTGTAAGATCCAGTTCTTTTCCAAAAGGATCCCCAGAAGGTCAGAAAACAATGAAAGTATTTTTAGAAACATCAAAAAATAAGACAAATCTGCAGGAAAGCATGCTTGCTTTTATGATGACCAACTCCTTTATGAAAAATTCCTTAAAGAATACCACATATAGATTTCTAGACATCTAAAAATACATAGGCTGTAAAGCCTCCCTTTTAGCAGAGGTACTCTCCTGTCTGTAATCCATCTACCTGTTTTCACAAAACTACTTATTGAGCCTTGCTTCTCTATTTGCTGGATCTCACTCAATTCAAGAGTTATACTGGAAAAAAGATGGTGATGGAGTGAGTCACACATAAATACGCATAACATTGTGATTGCTTTCTGTAAGACAGCTCATGATTGTAATGCAAATTAATGTCTTTATATTCTAATCACATTACCATATAATGTAGAATAATTCTTAACTTTTGTCACACCAAAACTGCAAGTCGTAAGAGTGAAAACCTCTACTTGCTCATTAGAGAAGAGAACTGGTGGCCTTGCTAGAGAAATAGCCAGGAACAAGAATGCTTCTTTATTTTGCCCAACATACAGCTCTAACCTCAATAACATTTTATGATTTTGCAGTATCTATTCATAAAATACCAGAGGGATTTGTGTAAGAACACCAAGCAGCCCCTTAAGAAAACCAGTCTTTTCAAGGGACTCAGATGCAGGAAGCTTTTCCTTGGAGAATAATACAACAGCTCTGTTGTAATACCCTTTCTCATCAACAGCCTACACAACAGCTTCCATTCATGTTCTGCAGCCGAATGCTGTTTGCCCATGAGCAGGCGAGCCCTACCGGCCCCACTCTGAATGATAATGTATTTGTTGAAGTAACCTGGGTTTATGTACTTCTTTTGTCCCCTGTAGAATTCCAGGGAGGGAAGGGCTGCGGAAACCTGCTTTCATAAAATATATTTTTCACTAGGCGAATAAACAAGCCACAGAACTACCCGGACCGCAAGGTCCAACTGGGGTTCCACATGGAGTCACACATCTTAAATCTGACTGATGAAGAATTCTACTTAAAAACCCAAACATCTCATATTCCTTTAGTAGCACTGTTTAGCTGTGTTGCCCTACATTTACTAGTGGTATACCTACAAGTATGAAGCAAATAGCTCGCATCAGAATTTAGCACTGCCTTTTACAAACGCACACGGTTGTACGGAGGGAGCCAATGTCTTTTGGTAAAACAGTACTTTGCTCTGATAGACTCCTAGGATAGAGTTTCTGTAAATTCCTGCTAAATTTTCCTGACATTCAGAAGAAACTAAACCACAGCAACTTTTAAGCAGCCACTCTTAGTTTTTCCTTTCAATCAGCTGTAAGTACATCAAGGTATGCATCAGTAAATCTAAACCGGCTAAAAAGACTATTAAATCTTTGTTGTAGAAATACCTTCAGTCTTTTTTTCATGGTGCTGTTCCATTCTTTCTGTAGTAGATACATCTCATCACCATCTTCATCAAATATATCCTCACTGAATCGGCTGACTGCAACTTGTACCCAGGACATAACAGCAGTGATGACTATGAACTCTGCTTATGTAGTAAAAAAAGTGCTGAGAAACTCTGAAAAGTCCCTCTAAGTGTCAGATTAGTAGTATAGGCAAAAAAATGTGAGTTCTGAAGAGAAGTCACATATGGAGCTGATTATTCAACCTGTACATTTGTTTCCACATGGAAAACGGATGCTGTTCACCATCAGGATGCATCTGCCAAGAGAAGACAGTCAAATCGTCACTGGTAAAGCACTCACAACTAATTCATCGCATCAGTGGAAATTCTTACAACCCACAAATGCTGTTTCTTGCAAAGGCCCCAGCGGCTTTTAGGGAAGCGAGGGCCACAAGGGCCATCCCGCGCCCGGCCACGCCGGTTTTCCTGGGCCACAACTGGCTGGAGTCTCGCAGTCTGCAGGCTCCCTCCCTGCGGCGGGCCCGAGGTGCACCCCACCGTCCCCACACTTTTCCAGACAGCAGATCGCAAAACCATGCCTCAACGCGCCAGCGCCGCCCTGCCCAAACCTCGGCCGAGTCAGCCCGGCAGGCACCCAGCCCCCCACAAGCCGCCGCGCTGCGGGGCCCCCTACTTTCTCCTTCTTCCTTCTCCCTCGCCTCGCCTCGCCTCGCCTCGCCTCTCCCGGCTGCTCACTCAGCCCCGCGCTCCGTCCCCTCACCACAGCCGCCGCTCCACGGCGCTCCACCGCTCGCTGGCGGCCGCCATCTTGGTTGAGGGCAAACTGGCTTCACTGCCGTCGGAAGCAATAGGGGAGCGGCAGCCATGTTGGCCGAGGGCAAGCTCCGCGGAGGTCACAGTTAAACGACCGCCATCTTAACCAGCAGCCCCGTGGCTTCAAAGCCTGTCTGAGACGCTGGAGGAGGGCGGCCATCTTGAGTGCGGGCGCAGCCTCGCACCCTCCTCAAGGAGGCGGGACGGTGTGGCTGGGCTGCCCGGCCCTGTTGCGCGCCGCGGGGCGAGAGCTGGTGGAGAAGGCCGGGCGCTGGAGAAGGAAGAAGCCGCTGCTGTGAACCCGTTTCCCGGCTCTCCAGAGCGGAGGGCGTGTGGCTGCCCCAGGTCTTCCACAGTGCCCTCAGGCCAGCTCCGGAGGGAGTGTGTTCCCCGGGGCATGGAGGTTTTGTCCTCTTTTCAGTCGTACATTGTGGAATTTCTAAAAAAAATCTGCCTTGTTGGCTTCTGAATCCTCAAGGTCCTTATGTGTGAAGTGTGCCCTTAAGCTGTCCTCTACAAGATTCAGGCATCACAATAATAAATCCCTTTTAATATGAAGGGTGCCAGCAGGAGTCAAGTGTTTCATTGTTTGCATCTATTAGAGAAAGCAGTAACATCCTTCTGACATAACTACAACGGAATAATGTGTTCTTGGTGCATGCTGCATTTAGCATATGAGCGTAAGTTTAAAGTTTGTTAATCTTCATAAACATGCTATGCATCAACCTTGAATTCAATCTGTATGTTTCTCCAAATTGCCAACTCCTGTGACAGCAAATGCCCTCGTGTCCTGAGTGCTTCTGCAGGTCCGTGAGAGGGAGCGCGTTCGCTCCTCGTCTGGAGAGGCTGATTCCCTGTTTCCCAGGCTGGCCATGGTGCCATGCTTACCCCACAGCGACTGCTGGGTGTCCCACCTCCTGTCCCACAGGTGAGACTCGTTACAGCAGGGCTAGGGACACCACTGCGGATGACAGCAGAGCCTGTCCTCACACGGCAGGTACTGAGAGATGAACGATCGTGTGCTGCGACTCACACAGCCACAGCACTCTCATTCCTCTTGTCCCTTTTGTTTTGCAGAGACGGCCTGACCTCCTGCTCGTGGCCCTTCTCGGATGCTCGCTGCTGGTTGCATGCTGAGGTATGAGTGGCCAAGTAACCCAAATCTGTCTAGAAACTGATGTCTCGGGATGAAATGACACTGGTTCCTCTGGATGGCCAGAAATGCGCATATCTGTTCCTCGGCAGTTACTATACATGTCCATGACTGCTGATTTCGTAGCTCAGTTCTATCACTTCTACCTCCAGTCTGGTAGAGGCTTATTTAGCTAGCTCTGCCATTTTTTTTTAAACAGGCGACAGTGCTGAATATAGCCCACATGCACAAATGCACAGTTACAGAAAAGCTCATGACCCCCTCATGACTGGTCATAATGGCACTACTAAACCTGCCTTAACCCTTTGCTTATCTTGTCTTGCACTCTGTCGCCTCAGCCTTTTGCTCTTCTGGAAAAGATACACAGGTCATACCTCAGGGTCACTGTGAGTTTCCCAAATTCAAACTATCTCCGTTTAAATCTCTTACATTTACCAAAGTCGATCATTCCACACAGATGTTTGTGTAAGATAAATCCTTGTAACCATGAGAAACAATGAAGAAAGCTCATATTCCCACCCCTTTCTCTTAGTAGTTGTGGGTGGATAATGTGGTGAATCATATTGTATACGTAAAGCAGCATTGTTGGGTTATGAAGTGCAGTTGCAACTTGAAGATAAGTTGATTGTATGCTGATGGCCTTGACAGGGCTGCTGGCAGGGCTTGAGGGTGAGGTGTATTGCCTCAGGGTGTGGATGTTTTCCACACCTGTGTGTGTTCTAAATAAAACAGTGTCTGCATATTATGGTGACACTTTGTAATGACACATGCCAAAGGATCAAAACACGAGAACAGTATTTCACAGTCTACAAAAGAGTTCTGGCATTTTTGCAGAATAAAGAAAAGTTATCCGAAAATGTAAAAAACAAAGAAGTAGTTGATTTGTGACCCATTGTAAAATTTGTCACTGCCATATCCAAGATTAAAAACTGGCTAATTTTAGCCTTATGGTATCTGTTATACCAAAGCTACCTCTGAGCCATGAACATGCTTGGCTCAGCAGCTACTCCCTGCAACACCTGGAGTATTGGGGAAAGGTTCCAGAGGGGCCAGTACACAGTCATGCAGAGCTTAGGACTACCAAGCAGTTGTGGGAGATCATTACAAAGGATTTCTGTCAGCTTCATCTTAGTGGCAAGGTTTGCTGTAAAGCGATCAGCCATGAGTGATTGCCAAAAGTAAAATATATGAACATAGTGGCATGGGTTGCTCCTTTACACCTTTATTACTGTGCATAATGCTTCAGATAAAGCATTGCTCCCATTCAGATCATTATTACACAATCTTGTCTTTCACTCATCAGTGCTTCAAATCCAAACTGACAGGAGCAGCCAATGGATTTCATCATAATGCACAAAGGCCCCTCAAGATTTCAAGCTTTTTTGAAGGGTGGTTGATTACCATAGCCAAGACTTGTGCTGTGTATGGGCCACTCTGTGGGGCAGGATGATCACATTCTTGCTAGGGCAATTTCTATTGCTGTGTACTGCTGTCTCTGGCAGAATTGAGCTAAGGCTTGTGAAGGGTAGAGGACTATTTACTTACTAACACCGTAAGTTATTCTCCAATCATACAATGCTTATTGTCATGGACTGACAGAATCATGTTTCTTTGGCTTTAATTTTGGGAGCAATATAATCCTTTTAAGAAATCACAGCTCTTAAATGGTATTTGGATGAGTTTAAAGAACACTTAAATCACTGTTCACTTGTTCTCTGTAGTAAACAAGACTAAAACATAATGGGAAAGCGTAAGCTATTGAAATATGAGGAGAATTAAAATGATCAATATTTAATAAAGTATATGCATTGTCACCAAACATTGCACAAAGTTTCTGAAGAGCCTTAAACCTCAAGTCCCTCCCAAAATGTGTATTCTGCCTATGGTCAGGTCTGTAGTCTTTTCCAGGTGTCTGGTTCTACTGACTGGTCAGATTCTAGGCCGTTTTCCTTGAATACGGTGAATAACAAGGCATTGGCAAGACTGCCTACAACAGCAACAAGACAGACATGCTCACATGCAACCTAGTCCCTGTCCTGATCTTGTCTCTCTGTGCATTTTTCCTTCTTGTGAGGGGTGGTGGGGTTGTGTACTGCTGGCTGGATGTTGCAATAATACAGTGACCTCCAGTGCTTAAATCCTTTGCTTCCAGACCCGCCGCAGAGAAGGACACAGCGAGCTAACAAGTTAACTACAAGGTCATAGGCCTAATGAGGTTTTAAATATTGCAGCTCACAGCACAGGAGACTATAATGACCCTAAATTAAACAAGAAGTTTAAAATAAACCTCTAGGATCAATGATTATTACCAGGGCATGGTAATAAACATACATTTCTGTGTTTTCCTATGACATCTCTCATTCAGGATATTAAAGCAATTTACTAGTAAGGCCCTATCACCCTCTTGTGATGAAGGTAAGTAATACATAGGAATCACTTCTCTCTTCTTTATTATCATACAATAATATTACACAACACTTTGGGTCAAAATGTCTCATTTAATTTCAGAAGAAAATGGAAGAATATGGAAAAGAGCTAGAAATTTATATCAAGGGTAAATGTCTAACATTCACTTCAAAGCACCACAGGAATCTTAATAACCATTTTGCCATTACTTCTCACACAAGTGTTTTCAAGGGAGAGGACAGTTTTCTGCCTCTTTCTTCCCCTGTATTATCAAAGCACAGAACTTTGATAGTTAAGTGTTACAACAGGTCAGTTTTCCTACTTGCAGAATCATTACCATTTCAGATCCTGGCAAAAAAAGAAACCTTTCCTGAATATTCCATGGACTGTCAGCAGTTTGGCTTGTACTGAATTATAAGTGGAAGTGGTTAAGCAAAGGAATAATTCCCCCCCCCTGCTTTCCCCAGGCTTGCTTTGAATGTCCCCAGGGAAGCCAGGCTTGCAGTCTGAAAAACTGTACTCTGAACTGTTGCGTACTAAACAAAGCAGCAGGTACAGTTTATTAACACCAACGCAGTTCCCCTCCACCTGTTATTTTCCTTCCTTTGCTCCTCAAATGAGTGAAATTTGTTGTCCCCAGATGTAGTTCATATTTTCATTCTGGAACTTCAATAACAACTCTAACATTGTAAAAAAGATGATATGGTTGAGATCAAAATGAGCTATGTACACATC